CCCTCCCTCCCTCCCGCTTTTCGTCGCAGAGCTCTCCTTTCGCTGTGCAGTATATTTAAGACACGGAATTAGAACAACTGCAACGCCGCCAAGGAGACTGCAAAAATTGCTGCCATAGCCTCAATTCCATTTATTGCTCCCCCGCCCCTCTCTCTCTAAATTATAATACATAGCTATATGAACAAAAAAAAGTGTTATTTTTACGGTGCACACGGCAAGGAGAGGAAAGAAATGATAAATCCAGTGACGACTGATTGGGCAGCGGTGGGGCAAAACAAAACAAAAGAAATGGCGAGAAAAAGAGGAAAACCCGTCAAATCCGGTGCCGCCCCGTTCTCTCTCTCACTCTCTCTCTCCCTGTTTTTCGAACCGGCGCATTTCTAACCGTACGATGTAGATCGAACCGTGATTAAGAAGTTCACGCGTTGGAGACCGAGTGGGCTTTAGCTCGCCCGTTCTTGGAACCCCAAAACCCGCTGCTTTTCTTTTCTGTGATGCCCCCCACTTTAATGCCGCTGTGTTGTGCTCTGCTATCTCTTCTAAAGTTCCCACCAAACACCAAATGGAGAAAGACTCTCCTCCATTCATAAATACTTCTTCTTCTTCTTTTTTAAATTTGAGTGCTAAAATGAAATTTTCCTGTCTCAGAATTTCATCTTGTCCCCTTAACGTCAATTTTTTTATTTTTATTTAATCAAACAAGTTACGTATCATTTTTTTTCCAATCAGAAGGAGTACTATGTTAATAAAAGCGATAAAAAAGAAGACACGATCAAAAACAAGTAGGAAAATGAAAAGGATGTGTAAAACCAAGATTTATTTTCCTTTTAGAACTTGTCACAAAATAAAATGATCTGTGACAAGATCATTTCTCATGAGAATGTTGTTGGACCAGAGCGTGCATCGGCCGAAGAATTCAAAATATTGTACACGACATAAGATTAAAAAAGTAATTTAGTCATTTATTAGTTATTATTATGGGGTATAAATATGACTTAATATGTTTAGAGTAAGAAGAAGTGTGATTGTTGTCTTGAATCTTAGTGTTAGGGCTTAGAGAAATAGTCTACCTCTCAGTTATAGGTGTTTATATTTTATGCATTCAGTATTGTACCATTTTAACTTTGTATCGGAGAAATAAAATCTATTATTTCTTCCTTAATTTCTGTGAAAAATTTTCTTGTTCCAATCAATTTGATATCAAAACATTCAAGAGTACTGTTTCGTTAGAAATTTCTATTGTACGCATGTAAGGTTGCTGCTTCAGCTCGTATCATATTGAAATCGTTGATGCATCACCTTCATGGTCGAACCTTGTGATACGAGCTAGCTGGGAAGCCAACGATTAGATCTCAGGCCGCATTCTTGATTGTTGAATCCTAATTTGTTTGTGAAGGGTTTGAGTTTAAGAAAGGTCCGAGAGAGAGAGAGAGGGAGTGAATAGGGGAGAGAGTACAACATGTGATATCATTTTTATGCCCTTACTTTAATGGGGTTCATACATGATATTCTAGATAATTTACTTGTATGAACTTATTGCTCGACTGACCCATGACTCGGTCTACCGGGCTACCACGACTTCAGCTCAGTAAGGTTAATTCAATTGGCTAGGCTGAGTCGTTGTAGATTGTTTGTTGGAGTTGATTATTTTCAGTTCGACATGACTGAATTGGCTGTACAATCGGTTGATTTAGTATGACTACCAACCCTTGATCCTTGTAAGAGGAGCACGTGTCGGTAGAAAGAGGCTAAGCTATCAGGCATAAGATGAATCAATGTAACCCAATAGATAACTTATTAATTCATTGACAAAGAGGTCCCTCGATATTCTTGGTTTCTGATGACAAACCTAGAGGGGTCGTGGGACGGTTGGTGGTGGCGAGGAACTGAATTCTTTTCCCCCGTCGGATTTATGTACTGAGGGGTAGGTCGATGCCTTTGCTCGGCTTTCTGGTAGTTTTTAGCTCAAGTGCTTATACGCATTGCTCTAGTTCAATTACTTTCGACTAAGATTAATCTTTTCGTCCCTCTCATGGCTAAGCTAGCCTCCATCATTAGCTTGGATGACTGCATCTAATTAGAAAAGTGTGTCTCTTGGTCTCCTATCGGTGGACCCTCCTTTATTGTACTTCTATCCTTCTGAACTATTGGATCTCATTGGGATCTGTGTTGGTGCATTCTTCATGTATAGTGACAAAACTTTGAGATACAGCTGTCAACAATTTTTTATCATTAGGCAAGAATATTGATGCATTTCAAGAAAAAAAAAATATTTCAAAATGGGCCCCAATTTCAACAAGATAATTTATAATTAAACTTGGCGTATCAACAAGAAGAGCCCAATGACACAAAGAGTGATTCAATAAGAGTCCTAATAAGCCAACAATTGAAGTGTTATTAAAGGCTTTAGTGCATCAATTGAAATGTCAAATGATCTCAGAATTTGACATACTTTTAGTCAAATCAAGTGGCTCGTTAAGAGAATGAATCCAATATCATTCAATAATGAGGTCATTAAGATGCTCAAATATTGAAAAAAAAAACATGCGATCAAGGCAACCAATGTAGACAATCTGACGGAGAGTTTTGAGAGATTAGCTAAATTTATGAAAAGACACTACAAAGAATTATAAATAGATCGCCATTATTTACTTGAAATGAGGAGGAGAAAAGAACAAAATTTGTTGAATTTTATAACTTAACTTTTAAAGTCTCAATGGTTTTTGTTAGTTAATAGAGTTTGTCGCCACCCACTATAGTTCAACATTACCCACCAATGGTTACCATCAACCGCCACTAGCAATGATTATAGCTAAGTACAACAACTATTACAACCAAGTAACTACAACTTTCTTATCCAACTACTACTATTGTAGTCACCAACTAGAATTCTTTTATCTCAAAAATGAATATTGTAGCCAACTATAACTGTAAAGAAGTGATGGTCATCAGTTTTTGTATTCTTATCTTCTCTAATTCAATAAAAGAGTGGACCTCTTTACTTTTAATTTTCAAGTAGACTAATTTGATTGAGCAAGACCCTGTAGTTTTTTCTAATGCATTTTTTTCGTGCAAAAAAATATGTTTGTCACTTATATCTCTATTTTTGTGTATACTGAGATTTCTTAGTAGTATCAATTTTAAATCTCTTTTAAAATTTAAATAACATTAGTTTTCATAAAGATTCTAGCTATGAAAGGCCTTGATTTGTAACTTGTGGGCAAGCTCACCCGTGAAAGTTTGCCAAAAAAAAATCCTAATAACAAAAGTAAAGCCTTGCTAAGTATGTAAACTCTTAAAAAAGAAAACTCTCTCTTGATAGAAACAACATGTGATTAAATTTAAATATTTAAATCTTGAGACCACTTAGATATATTTGTGGCCTCACATTACTAAGCACCAATCACCATAGATTTTAAAAGTGAGCATTGTTATCCTTAATTCTAGAAAAGAATAATAGCAAGTGCTTGAGGTTAAACAAAGAGAGCAATGATTTATTGAAAACAATAATAAAATGGGAGTTAAACCTAATAATTTGTAGGAGTGGATCTTTTCAAATGAATAAAAAATAACAATGGACTTAGAAACTTGGAAAGCAAATAATAAAAAATTTAAACTGTAAATTAACTTGAACTTTAGAATATTGAATATGTTATTGATTGTGAATGAAATATAAAGTGAAAGCATTGCAGGTAATTGAAGCGACCCCTACACAAGCACAAACCACACCAAAGAAAGATCCACAATTAGTAAAAAAATATGAACTTATCTGACGGTCAGTGACTATAAGAGCAACAGAAGGTGGCTCTGAAGGTTGATTAATCTAAAGAAAGAATCAAGGAAAAGAGAAAGAGATAGATGGTGACACTAAGATATGCTAATTCCCAAAAGTGCCAAAAAATATGATTTTGATAATGAGAGGTACTAGAGACAACTATAACATGTCATTGTCATTCCCAGGCTTACGCTTAATTATTGTCGTTTTCGAGTGAGCCAAGGCAAAACATGATGCTTAGAGTTGGATATGGCCATACCTATAGGTCGGTATCATCACATCGCCAACACCACTCATCCCTCTGTGTTGTTCGTCTTATTCAAACCACACATTTGCCTCCACCTTTCATGCTCTTCTCTAGGCACCGCCACGATTGTCTCCACCTTTATTACATTTTTCTTTGTTTCTTTTACCCGCACAATTATAGTCTTAGATTCAACAATAAGTATTGCTATCAGCTTTTGTGTTCCTTTTTCACTAATAAATCATTCTTCATTTGTAACATTTTCTTAGCAAAAATAACTAAGACTAAACACAAATTTCTACTTGGAATATTAATTTACCCCATCTAATTTTACATTTAAAGATAATATATAGCTTAATTACTCAATTAATCATTTTCATGAATCTTTATATCAAAATATAATACATATCAATGTCAAAATTTCTTTCATACAAAAAACATCTCATATGACATTTTGAATCCACATGAGAAGTTTAAATTACTCTTTGCTTTTTGTCAAATGTGATTCCAAATGGATTTGACAAAACCATTTGAGCTTGCGGATGTCAACTTGCTTAATTTCTAAAAATCTTCAAATATACTATTAAGGTTTTGGGGTTAAAATTTTCTAATATTATTTAGTAATGCTTATTGCCTAACATGCGCCCAAATAATTTGTTAAAATTAACTTATCATATACTATAATTATTTTAAATTAAATTAAACGATAATAAGTTTAGTTGGCAAGATGAAATTGGGTTTCAATTTCCACTCATTGGAGGACAATATATTTTTGCTATCTTCCCCTCTTTTAGTGTAAACATAATTATATTTTTATAGGTGATGTGCAGAGGAAGACATGGCATTGATTTTTTTTCTAATATTTTTATTTATTTTTTTGATTTATAAATATTATGTTTTGTGAATGAAACTAATTACTTAACTACTTTGTATTACAATAAATATATGTAAGAATGCAACTTAACATTTAAATCAAAATAGTTGAGTTTAAATTTAAAAATTATAAAAGTAAAAATTTGATTATTGACAAAAAATTGAGTATAATTAAGAAAATATTTCACAATTATTCTTATTTTATTGGTCATAATCATTAAGTTTATTTGAATACACTAGAGCTGTCGACACGAATTTCAAAGAGAACGAATGACCGAAAATAAAAAATATTCCCAAAGGGTAAATTGTCGACTGAGATGTCACTGCCAATCAAGTGAAACCAAGTCTCTAAACATAATATAGGTCAAACCTCTGAGGGGATCTCTCGCCCGATAAACGATATGATCCACCAAGGGCGAGATATAATTTATCCTAGCAAGTCTCATCCATTATCTCGAACTGGCAGCGACAAGATCTTCCCAAGACCTTGTTGATAGGAGTATCCGGCTGAGGCGACGAACTAAGCAGGTAAACGAGACATATGCCCTATAAGAGTTTAACCAAAGCGACAAGTGAGCCACACCCGATAAAATAAATTGACTCATTAGTCGATCAACCATCCGACCAAAGCTTAGGCATAAACTCCTTATAGCGATTGGATGATTTACTTGCTTTTATCGTGGCAGATAAGATCGTGAGTCGACCGAATGCCTCAATCAACCACACAAGAGGCACAAAAGCCACCTGGTTGATCGCTTCACTCGGTCGTATTCTAGCGGATTGACTAGCCAATTACCACCATATCAAAATTCAAATTGTAATTCAAATATGAAATGAAATTCATAAAATTTATTAGAGCATTAATCATATTACGATCGTTTTCTATAAATGTTCTCTCATTTATGTAATTGTTCCTAATACATTCTTATAAATAAGAAACAAAAAGACGACAAAAACGAGCTAGCCATTGGGACTTCCTTGGTTCCCTCTATAGTAACTTTTGATTCACTTTATTTACTCATTCACTCAATTCTTAACTCTCAAGGTGTGCTTACAAAAGAGAATCTGATATTCAACATTATTATTAACATCATTATATATATATATATATATATATATAATGTCAAAATAGTTTTGGACTATTTACATGAGGCATTTTAATCCCAATATTTATAGAAATACCAAAATAGCTCTCGACTCTATGAAAATGGAATTCTATTAGTCCTACATGAGGACAATTTTAGCCTCGATTTAAAGCATGTGAACATCATTTTGACCATTCTATCAATTTTGTGATTAAAATAATCCTATGTAAATAATCGGCACTTTATTGTATACATATAATGATCAATTAATTGAAATGAACACAACAGAAGCGCATAAAATAAAACAACATATTATTTACTGCTGGCCTCAACGATGATTAAGAATTTTATTTTATTTAATTATAAAGAAAAGAGAGAAAGGGATGAAAGTAAAGTAAAAAAAATCAAAAAAGAAAGCGGCCCTCATTGTACGTAGTCCTTCATATACTCTCATCCACGACCGCTCCGTTCTGTTTAGGGTTAGGGTTTCAGAATCACTATGGCAGCGGAAGAAAGAGGAAGACGAAGAAGGTCGCAATTGTAAAACCGTAATAGTTTTCATTCCTTGCCGCGCCGGCCCGAGTCAGAAAGACCGGCGAATGCGGCTGGGGGGAGGGCGATTTTTTGTTTACAAATTTTGGTATTTTTAGATCTAAATATTTGTGTCAAAATTTGTTCATGATAATGCATATTGCTAGTAATTATATTTTCTTAGAATTCATTTTTATATTTTCATGATGATATAAATAAATAAATTTTTATTATGTGAGAGTAAACGAGTTGTCGTGTTGTTGATAGCGGAGTCGAGTGGCAATGCAAAAGCTAGCCAAAGGATTTAATGGCTTGCTATGTAGAAAATTCACTTAAAAAAATGTAAATCTTAATTCAATATTTGAATTAGAAGCTTCTAAAGTTAAACTTAAGTTTATTCTGATAGGACATCTCCATCGAACAATTTCCAACGTTACCGGATTTAGAATCAATTAGAAACTAAACAACACTGCCGAATAACCTGATCACAACAATTCCACAAAACTGTAACAAATAACTAAATAGAAAGCACAATCAAAACAACCGGAAATGCATGCTAGAATTTTACGTGGAAAAATTTAAGAACGAGAAAAAATTACAGACCCACACTAAATGCAATTTGGAAGGCTTTACAAAGAACTTATACAAGTTTTCTCTCCACATACAAATAAAACTTACAGGACTCACTCCACAATCTCTCCTCTCCGACCTGACACAAAAAATCATGTTGAATCACTGAAATTCACGTCTTCGACACTTCTTATCTTGACAGGGATGCTCATCGAAGAATGCCGGAGGAACAACATATCAAGTTGCACTCTCACATTGCTTAAATTCAAAATTAAAATCGAAATCAGTATAAAAACTGCTTCGGCAACCTAAGTAGAAATCTATGTGGGGCTAGTCAGATTTAAAAAGCTCGGGGGCTTTTCCTTGGCACATGCTAATATAATGTAATTATCTTCCAAAATCCTAAGTGTGAAGACCCTATTATATGACTTGGGTGAGAGTCATGCATGCAATCCATTTAAAATATGGTCTGAAGGTTATGCAGGAAAGTAAAAGTACGAATTTTAAATTCCTGAATATTTTAATCCTAATTTGTTCCTCAACAGGCAAAGAAGTCAGTCGGGGAACTTGTTGGTGTAAGCAAAACAATCTATTTCTAGTCCTTCGGGCCCTCTAACCTAATCTAAGAAAAGATGCGACCTCAAATGAAACTAGAACACAAAGAGTTGAGTGAACAGAAAAAACTGTTGCACCCTCTCCTCTTAAAGAGGACTCTTCTATGACCTTTTTAGTCAGAGAACTGGTGGTAGCATCAACATGGATTCTAGATCCAAAACAATCTACAACTTGAGGAGAAGTAGATCTCCTAACGGTCCATGACGTGGCATGATCCTCACAACTGAACGACGCAACACAATGATTCTTAGCCAAGGGAGCACAAGATTTACTTCAACTTTAATCACAATATGTAAAGAGACATGTGGTTGATTCAACTGTTGTAATTGTAGCAATGTCTTCCTAGTTCTCTGGGCATTCCTACTCAATATAGGAGCATGAAAGACCTCACTGAAATCTGAAACAATGGGGGTGGGATGATCGCTGATCTGATTTAAAGCACGCCTAATTTCTTTCTCTTTTGCACCTGTTATTTGATAAAATTACACATTAAAGAAGTATATTTTTGTTTTTTTCTTGCAAGTAGAACATGTAATAGAATTGGAATGAAGTGGAGAAAAAATGGTGCAAAGCAGAGCTGAGATGGAGCTAAGGGTGGACCAAGTGACTGACGCCTAATGCCACCCTTTGGGCGCCAAGGCGCTTCACCAGAGTGCCTTGGTGCCACCTACTTGGGGTCCTAGGCACCAGAACTCAGCCGAATAGGCAAAGAGCTTGGCGCCTAGGCGCCAACCCTGCGACGCCTAGGCGCTAATACTACCTGGGGTAGTTCCAACAATTTTCTTCACATGATTCAAGGAGTTATGCTGGTCATATATTGGTGTATTTGGTGATGAGAAGAGAGGAGAAGAAAGGGGAGAAGAAGGCCAAGTGCTACAGAAACCTTAAGGAAATCCTTGGGAGTTCTTAGAGTAGTAACTTGTATTTTCTTTGATTATTGTATTAAGATATTGATGAAGATTGATCGTTGTAATAGAGAGGGGATTCTAAGCATTGAAACAAGGATTGGGAGATCCTTTGAAGAGAGATTTATAGCATTTTGTAAAGAGAAAAAAAGCTAAGTATTGTGTACCTTTTGAATTGCATTATGATTAGTTCTTCTTACCTTTTTCTTGTGATGAATAAGTAGATTGTGCAGGAATAGTAGAATGCTTTTAAAATTGGGTCTACATCTTTAACGTGATGAATATTCTTCCATGCTTAACTTAACTTTCATTCTAGCCAAATGATTAGTTAAAACATCTTGTGATCCATAATAACTCAGGAGAGTTATGGAGGAACGATTAGGGTATTCACATGATTCCTCTCAGTAACTCTAGATCCACCCGAGGAATCTGGTGGGCTTCAGCTGAGAACCTGCAGAAGTATTCACTGAGGGATTCCCCCTCATTATGGCAAACTCCTGATAAGTAAGATGAATCTTTGATGATCCTTCTATTTACTATGAACTGCTCTATGAATACTTTGACAAGCTCATCAAAAGTGTTGAAGACGCCCTCAGGAGAGAGTAGAGCCATGTGCGAACTTGACCCTTGAGAGTTGTAGGGAATACTTGACAGAAAAGCGCATCAGAGGCACGGTTAATGTTCATGATGGTTCGATAGTGGTGAGCGGACTTGGATGGATCAGTTGCCCCTTTATAGGCGTCAATGTTTGGGAGTTTGAAACTTATTGGGATAGCGTGTCGGAGAACTGCATTGGCCAAAGGAGAAGATTCTTGGAAGTTGCGATGAGCAGGGAAGCGACCTCTTTTTCCTGAGGGAACTCTTCTTGAATCAGGCGTCACAGTTCATCTTAGATGATATCAACATAAATGATAGTAAGGCGGGGCGGTGCCAGGTGATCTGCATGAGACGGATGAGTGAAACTTGCAATGTCGAGAAGATTAGTGTCCCGTCTAGGTAGGGGAATGGTTTCATCATTAGGAGAGAACCAGGTGAGTGGGGTATTTCTTGTTGAAGGCTGAACAGGTGGTAAGTGAATTCCATTGGGTTATGATTGTCGCACCCCGCGTAGAAAATGAAGGATCTCATGTTGAGACTCATTAATCCTATGCACTCGATTTTCCACAGAATGACCCAAGGCTCCTTTGTCAGCTGGGTAATGCCTTATGAAGTAGAAGGATGTTGAGGCTTGATGAACTTGACTTTGTGATTGTCTTCTAGAATGATGGGTGTTGGAGCGGGATGCTATTTTGTTACAAATGTTATGTTTGGCGGCCATGCAATGATTCTTACAGGTATTTTACTAATGGAAATGCTCTATTTCCCACGGACGACACCAAAAGGATGTATGCTAGAAAATTTGTGGCAGTAGTATAATGGCTTATCTTCTTAGCGTTGCACAAGAATTCATCACTCACTGAGGTTAAAGAAAACGATCAGTAATGACAACATAAGTTTTTAAGTGGAAACCAGTTAAGGTAAAAAACCTCGGGGTCTGACCCAGATATAAAAATCCATTATATGTTGATGATTACAGAGACTTCTTTGTCCCACAAATAAGAAAATGTTACCCGATTTTCCAAGTTATAACATAAATTGATGGATTCTGGTCGGTGGTGGTTGTTGGTGATTGGTGGTGGTGAGCGGTTGACACCGGTAGGTGGTGGTGGACGATGACAGTAATGCTTGGCGGTGGTTGGTGGTTGTCGACGACGCTTGACAGTGGTTGACGGCGATTGGTGGCGGCTATAGGTGATCAGCGGCGGTCGACGGTTGTCAAAGGCGGCCGTCGGTAATCGACAGTGATAGGGGTGGTGCTGAACTTCAGCTCCTTCTCAAATCTTTAAGTTCTCTCTCAAGCCTGTATCCTCCCACTCATGAGAGGGGTGAGACTCTATTTATAGTGTTATTTGTGCAATGAAGGCAAGAATATGAGTCACTTTGATCGAATGGTCTAGATGGCTTCATTCCATCAGACGATGTTTGGTGGATATTTGAGTGATTGAAGGACGTTAGATTTGAGCACTCTTGGGCTCGTTGGATTCGTCTTGTCGGGACGCTCGATTATATTATAGGCTGGCTAGATTCAACATTCGTTTAACTATTTAAATATGCCCAAAAAACTTTCAAAAGTGGTCTAATGACTTGATCTGAGTTTCATTTGACTCTGATTGGACTAATTTTGGGAACACCAAGTTCTTTTTGCCGAGCCAGTTAGTTTGATTATAAGTTTGCTTAAATTGGAGTTCTAGATGAGTTTCTATCAATGTTTGAATCTTTCTCACTTAAAATCACCTCGAGATCTATGTCATGTCTCGAGATTCATGTCAGATGATATGATGAAGATTTATTGGAGATGTATGAAGTATAGTATGACACCCATCTAAGATATCTTTATAAAAGGACTATGACGTGGATGTGTGTCAAGCGATGTTCTGAGATATGGATCGAGGTACATCCTTGATAACAATAATAAATTTCCCAAGTAGTTGTCCCTCACTAAGTGTGCTAGTTCACCTCCGTGTGAGATATGAAATCCAACTACTTTTGCATGTGAATTTGATTCAGCCATTTCAATATATGAGTTTGATTCAACGTATTGGTTTTCGTGTTAGAATACTCATAGAAAACTTATATTTAGGTATATTGCTATATTTATGTCTACATGGATATAAGATATAATAGAAGTGTTCTAAGGAGAAGAGAGTAATGATAATTATGTTATAAGATCTCAGATTTGATGAACCCTATCTCACAATCTTCTTCTTGAAAATATATGAAATATCAATTTCTTAACATGATCTTAATGTTTTCTTATCTTACGTTGATGCATTAGTTTACCATCTTAGTAGTACTACAGGCGCATCCAGCCCAATCAACTGCAACATTTGCGCCAATTTGCTGTTTTAGATTCGAGTTGACATAAGATATATATATATATATACTTATATATATATATATTATTTTACTTCATAGCCATATAATAATATTACAGGAAGCGATATTAAGACCTACGATTTTCTCACTCTTGAATTATCTAAACCCCTATTTTTCCGGTTTTATGTCCCTCTAACATGACCAACAATAATACTAACATTCAAACTGGCCAATACATATCCAAATTTCTTCATCTAATTATTAAAGAAAACAGGCAGAGAGGAAAAATGGCTGCTTTTTCGTTGTCGTCTTGCCCTACGTCGTATAAAACAAAACAACAACAAATCTGTAATTATAAAATAAACCAAAAAAAAATCCACAAATTGGGATGAAAATTTCCCGTTTTTACGTCATAATTAATTGGGCAACAAAAAGGGGAGTGAGGCCATGCCGAGGGGGCCGATTCGGGCAAGGAAATGAGTGATGTATGCGACTCCCAATAAACGTGGCATGCATCTCTCTCCTCCTCCTCGAGCCCAGCGCTTGCCCCTTCACCAGTTGACTCTCTTTCTCCTTTCGCTCTTGTCTCCACACGTAGAGATAGAGAGAGAAACAGGACATTAATACACCTCCGAGGGCTCAAATCCCGACGCACATAACAAACTCTCTCCTTCTTATTCGGAAGAAGAAAGCTTAAACATGTGAAGAGTATTTAGTCATAAATACTTGTGCTTAATGCAACGTTAAGCATCGCTTTCGTCACATTTACGAGCCCTTTCTCTCTCTCTCTCTCCACCCTAATGCTACTTATCACAAATGCTCTTGGGTGGGTTTTAGAACCCAAGGCCCGGCCCAGTCCAGTTTGGAGCCCGGAGAGGTGGCCCATCGCTTTCAACTGGCGTACGTGACTGATCTGTCAATTGGGCGGACGGCGCCCGCATGCGAAGGAGCCAAGCGTGGTGGAATGCGCCGGAGACTTTGCAGCAGAACAACAGTTGGCCCGACCTGCCCTGGAGAGGATGTGTGCGGCTAGAAACGTGTCTGCCATGGGCTCGATATTACGTGCCATATTATTTCATATCTATGTGAAATTTGATGATTTTGGGATGAATAGCATCACAATATTATTTAATTCACACATATCTCATATGCACGTAATATTTTTTAAGTATAATGTGTAGTGTATATATATATATATATATATGAAATCAATTTGAAACTTTTCTTATCCAAGCTTTTGACCAACGTTTGATGTCACGCATTAATAATAATTCTTAACTTCTATTATTATTATTCACTCGGTGACTAAAAAAAACCAATTACAGTTATTTTTCGCTTCATTTGAAAATCTAGATTTTGTCTTAATTTGTTTCTCTTTTAATGTCTTCTTTAACTCTTTCTTTTAGGCCTAGGGTTCTCCTTTTCATATTTTTATCTTTGTTATTGAAATTTATCCTCTTTAAAAAATGTTTGAACAAAATATTTGTAGATATATATATATAGAGAGAGAGAGAGAGAGAGGTGTTGGAGCATAGGTAGAAGCATGTGGTTGAGCCCCATGGGATGATGAGATGCATGGGTGAGTTGGTGGGCCAAAGAATGGTAGCCCTACGTATCTATTGCTTAATCATCTCAGGCTTTGTAGCCCTTCGCATGGACCAACCTCAACCACCCTAATCACCTTCAGAAGACAAACAAGACCAATAACTCTCTCTCTCTCTCTCTCTCTCATTTGTCATTACTCGACAGAAGGTTTAATACAAGATAGAATTGAGAGCTACAAAATATATATTCTAATTTTCTTTTATGATTTCAATCTCATACTCACAAAATATCACTACCAGCTATCTTATATATGTTGACTCATGACTAAAGCTTCAGAGTTTTATATTGTATTTATATGAAATATTTTAGCTAGGGTGAGTTAAATATGTATTTATTTGTAAGATAATAATGACAAATTCCACGTAGAATGCGGAGAATTTTGTATAGATTAGCTCACTGAAAAAGATGCCACATGAATATCCTGCTTAAATAAATAAATCGGGCATGCTGATATTACTTAAATTCAAATATTAATTTATGTGTACGTATGACATTTTTCTTAAAAGAAACGTGAGTGGGGAACAGTGTAAGCTTCTACCGCAGCTTTATCATACATGTTCGAGGCCATATCACCATGATTATTGTTAAAAAGAGATGCTGACTTTTAATTAACATTAAGAAAAATAATTAAATATGTTTTAAATTATTTTGATGTCATAAAATATGATGCATGAAAAATATTAGAAATTCTTATGCATTTATATATCTAGCATCTAAACTTTAAAATTTACATATATATTTTATTTTTTAAAATTTAAAATTTATATTGTGATAATATTCATGTGATATGAAAGATTTAGATGATATAAAGGTAAGTAAAACTTAGATATTAAAAATTTAAATACATAAGAGATAAGTGGAAGTATCTCCTCTCTCTTTCCTATTCAGATGAATTCTTTTTAGATGATTAGTATAGCTACTTTAAAAAGAAATAAGTATATAATATTGATATTGTGCTGTGTACCTCGGCCTGTTGGTTAGCATCCACAGTATAAAACATTTCAAGTAGGGAGTTCGGATCCCTCTGACACAATTGGTCTTAAGAAGGTGGTACTCAAATTGTTAGACAAAGTAGGGGCGGCTGGAGGCTCATGTGTATATGTATGTAAGTGTGTGTGTGTTATTGTCAGCAGTTTTAATTTCTACAAAGAAAGATATGCAGCTCTTGTTAATTATTTTCTCCCTTCAACCCTTTTTTCTCTATCAATCCCACTAAAAAAATTATATCATAATATATTGATAAGTTTTAACAAAATTAGATTTATCATGTTTTGATTTATTTTGATACATTATTTAATTTTCAGTCACTTACCTAAAGAAATATATATTGAAATATGAAATAAATCAGTTTACGTCAAAAGAGCCGAAGTATTATGGTCATGGTCAAAACCATTTGGACCATAGGTTTGGACCATAGGCTCTATTTAGACCCCCTTTATTTTCGTGCAGGTCTAATCTATACGCTTACAGTTACAGCTATATTTGAACATAGGACACTGTAAATATCACTTCTTTTATAAAATTTCAAAAATTCACAGTTATATAATCTTGAATCGTATAATATAGAAATTTTTGAGATATTATATGTATATAAGAAAAGGGACAGTTACATGTATACCACACAAATCTTATGAATTTACAAAAGTAATTATGCCACTTAATTCCTTAATATCACATCAGAAGATAGAATAATCACTGTCTTTACAAAAGTGAAATACATCATATATGTATATGCTTATAACATTCAAATATCACAAGGGTAGTTCGATAAATACATAAATATTGTGTGGTATGTACGTAAATTTTCCTAAACCTATGTAACCAAAACACGTTCGTTGCATCATCAATAGATGATGATTCCGAAATATAGGAGGAGCTATGTGGTCTTGGATCCTCCGATGTCAAGCTAGAGATAGCCATTAGGGGATTAGGCAGGAATCAGTGTTAATTAAATTATAATTAGTATTGGTTAAAAAGAGCTATTAATGACCCTTGGATCCGGCAGGGGCTAGGGTTTTATGATGGGAATCATGTGCTTTAATCTAATCATTCCTTTAAAGTTGGCATTAAAATATTAATAACAGCACCTGTCACTACCGAGTGCTCCCTTCCCACACGACAGGTTTTTTAATTCATCCATTCATTTTTATATGCTCCTTGTTGACCTATGCTCACCTTGCACATAATTAGTTCATTTTTTATTTTTTTAAAATGTACTAATTTAACCATACATGAATAAACTTCTTCTGATTTCAATACAATTTTTTTATTTATTTTTCTCTTCATCATAGAATGGGGGGTGGGTTGGGAGACAGATAATTTTTTATATTTGACATGAGTTAATTGTTATTGTTGCGTGTCGAAAAATTCACGGAGAGTGACAATTTAATGTCTTAGTGTTGCACGAAGATTCATCATATACGCAACTAAAAGAAAAGCAGCAAGAAGAGACATCTGAATTATTTAATAATATCTCGTCACATATGTCATTGTGGGTCATTGCAAATCACAAAGACTGTGGTGAAAAACTATAATGACAGGAGTTAGTCACGCAGACTGTAATAAGATGTTACAGTAGTATCTAGCCACATAGGTTGTAGTTGGTCGTCGCAAGAATGCTAGTTGGCAACATATTCTATAGTGGAAGGCTACAGTTACAACATTTAGCCACTTATGACATAATGGAAAGCCACAATAGTAACTAGCCACACAGGTCATAGTGAGCCTCTGTAAGAGCATTACTTGGCCACATAAAACTTAGTTGGTGCTGCACAAGTCGGTTGATGAAACTCTTCTCCCTGGATTTGTTATTTTACCGCGAAGACATCATTTGTTTGTATACGATGTATAAAAAACTTTAGGAGTCTAGAGAAAGTCATCGTATTCTAAATATGATGATCATAAGCAACTATCATTGGGAGTATCATCAGATTTGTAATGTGGAGTCATATGTTATACTGTATTTTGAATACTTCATTTTTCCATATTTAAGATACTTTGTTACATAGTATTCATGATAATTTATTATCTAGTATTCGAGGATACATTGTTACACAACAGAGTTTGCCAACGATGGCTGGCGAGGGGTGATTGGAAAGTTTGCCAACGATGGCGAGCAGGGGATGATTGGAGATCGAAGGTGGTCGAAGGAAGCCTGAGATTATAGAGCCCAAAAGTTATCGTTGGGTCTTTAGTTCATAACATTGTAATCGGATTCTTCCCTCCTCATCAAGTGAAGAGAAGATGTCTATTTATATGCTTCAAAAAAGGGGTCATTCAGCCAATAACTTTACTAATCACATGAAAGAACGTTCCAATATTTGCATGAGTTAATTGTTATTGTTGTGTGTCGGAAAATTCACGGAGAGTGATAATTTAATATCTTAGTGTTGCACAAAGATTCATCATATACGCAACTAAAAGAAAAACAACAAGAAGAGACATCTGAATTATTTAATAATAACTCGTCACATATGTCATTGTGGGTCATTGCAAGAGTGTTAGTTGACCACAGAGACTGTGGTGAAAAACTATAATGACAGGAGTTAGTCACGCATATTGTAGTAAGATGTTACAGTAGTTTTTAGCCACATAGGTTGTAGTTTATCGTTGCAAGAATGTTAGTTGACAACATATTCTATAGTGGAAGGCTACAGTTACAACATTTGGCCACTTATGCCATAATGGAAAACCACAATAGTAACTAGCCACATATGTCATAGTGAGCCTCTGTAAGAGCATTATTTGGCCACATAAAAGTTAGTTGGTGCTGCACGAGTTGGTTGATACAACTCTTCTCCCTGGATTTGTTATTTTACCGCGAAGACATCTTTTGGACATCATTTGTTTGTATACGATGTATAAAAAACTTTAGGAGTCTAGAGAAAGTCATCGTATTCTAAATATGATGATCATAAGCAACTATCATTGGGAGTATCATCAGATTTGTAATGTGGAGTCATATGTTATACTGTATTTTGAATACTTCATTTTTCCATATTTAAGATACTTTGTTACATAGTATTCATGATAATTTATTATCTAGTATTCGAGGATACATTGTTACACAACAGAGTTTGCCAACGATGGCTGGCGAGGGGTGATTGGAGATCGAAGGTGGTCGAAGGAGGCCTGAGGTTATAGAGCCCAAAAGTTATCGTTGGGTTTTTAGTTCATAACATTGTAATCGGATTCCTTCCCTCCTCATCAAGTGAAGAGAAGATGTCTATTTGTATGCTTCAAAAAAGGGGAATTTTGATCATTCAACCAATAACTTTACTAATCACATGAAAGAACGTTCCATATTAATTGTTTTTTATCATAAGATTTTTTTGATGATTTGAGCGCTTAATGACCTCAAAATCCAGTGATCTTAGACTCGTTGAATTTCTCTCATCTTGATGCTCGAATTTACTATGGTAAGTCGAACTTAAAGTTCATTTGATCCTCCAACTAACTATCCAAAACCTCTAAATGTGATTCAATGGGTTTATTCGGTCTTGATTAAACTCAGATTCTCGTGGAGACTGGATTTGATTATAAGATTATTGAAATTCAAACTTAGAATAATTTTTTATTTGAATTAGAATATTTTCTGCCAGAAAAGATCTCAAAATTTATGTGAAATGATGAAATTTTGTCATGACATATCAATTATAATATAAAAGTACTAAACAATGTATTTCTTTGATTTAATGCCATATTGGTATAGTGAGTTTAAGAGTGAAGAATGCTACGATGTATATATATATATATATATATATCTATATCAATCAAGAAATTATATTATTTAGCTCAGGCCAAGTTAAATAATTTGAGGTAAGCTTAAGATAAGCAGTAAAAAGAGATGGGGATAATTACGTGCAAAGCACCCAACATATTGGTACTTATAAATCAAGCACCCTGATGATTTTTTGAGCTATTGAATCGATGCATTTATTCGAGTCACAATTAAACCATTAAAAATTTGATAAAAAAAATATACGTGTTAGTTTTTATCATGAATTTTGATATTTTAGTGAGACTTTTAAAAGCGGACGAAAGAAGGTGCTTGATTTGTAAATAGCGATACTTCAGGTGCTCCGAATATAATGACATCTAGTCAATAATGTGGATTTAATCATCTCAAATTTATTGCGAAAGGTCTTGTATTCAATCTTCGCCTACCATATCATAATTTTTTTAGGGGAAAGAATACCTATGTACTTTCTTATATGGAGCCAGATAAAAATAAATATATGGATTAATAATAAGAAAAAAACAAAACTAATCTGAAGTTATCAAATTGATGATTAATTCCCAGACAAGTGTTCTTCACCGATTAGATTGTTTTTCTTTTTTAAAGGATGTGTTGGTGGTGTACATTTGATTAATTTCGACAATGAGTTTGAAATGCAAAATATGCCATTCAAAATATTAAACAAGCCAGATTTAAATACTATCAATAATACGTAGAGGTAGGGCTGCAAAACGAACCAAACTGGGTCGAGTAAAGGTCATGTTCAAGCTTGAGTTTGTTTAAAAATTCAAGCTTGACTCGAGCTCAAGATCATATAGAGCTTTTGTGATTGTGTTCAAGCTTGAGTTTCTTTATATTAAACTTTGCGTTTATGCTCATTCATAGTTCCTATCTGAGTTCGCCACCTGTTCATAATCGAGTTATTATTGAGCAGATTAATGAGTAAATCATCATCAAACTAAGTCATTTATATATAAACAAAATTCATTGAGCAAATTAAAATTAGTGATATTGTGCAATTTATTTCCAACTAACAAGTCATATCAAATAAAAGAATGAATAGTATGGTTGATCTGTTCATTATCTAATCAGACGAACTTCAACAAGTTTATAAATGAGTTATTTGTTTAGCTTACAAAACTAAATGAGTTTTTAAATGAAGGAGCATTTAAATGAATGACTAACATAAACAAATAAAGGCAAAAATTAAACTAAGAACTAAACAAATAAAACTTTATATTGTTTTATGTATTACAAACTAAAATTTAATTTAATATAAATCAATTTTATATTAAGCTTTTATTAACCTTATTCTCAAGCTTCAATTAAACCTCAACTGATTTTATTCATAAGCATTAACTCGGTCATATCTACGAACTTTAACTCAAACTGTTTATCAAGCTTCTTAAAGAACCTGTTCGCGAGCTTTAAATGATACTGTTTGCAAACATAAACGAATCAAACAAAGAAGTCTTCAAAGCCTTTTCATATAACAATCGAGCATTTATAAAATTGTTCATACTTGTTTAATTAGTTAATCATACAAACATGAACAAACTTTTATGGATCTGAGTTACGATCAGCTTGTCAAACACTTGGTTCATTTGTAGCTCTATTATAATAAGCCCATCTCTTTTTAACATATCATTCCACAATCTTGATCAAATAGACTAAAAAGTCCTCTATTGAAAGCCAACATTCAATCTCACCCGACCTGACGGATTTATGTGACATGATTAATAGAATCAGACTGTTCATATTTTTATGAATATTACTACGTAGGTATAAGATAAAAAACAAACGGCACATCTATCTTCATTTATAACTAAAGGAGAAATTCTATTATTATGGTTACTTTAAAAGACCTCGTAAATATAGAATTCCTTCATTGAAGGGCAATAAGATTATCTTATCACGGGTCAACGTCACCTGACCAATTAATATGGAATTCCTTCATTGACGGGCCAGGTACGTATAGGAAACTACAAAAAAAGAAAAATGAGGTGTTGACATTCATGCCAAATAATTCTCATGTATTTACAAATCTGACACCTATAATTTTACATTTACTTTCATAACACTCAAATCTTTAATCTTACATAAAAAAATATCAAAATTATTTTTAGAAATGAAAGGCACCATTTCAGTCATATGAGTTTATGTTACCAATGTATTATTAACGAAAATATCAAACATTGGTGTTAGTTATGTCATAAGTTGGTTAAATATATATATATATATATACAACGATGGCGAGCA